GCTTCCCTTGCCTCTTTTCTGGCTTTACGTTCGTGCATAAAATATTCCTGAACGTGAGCAAGGTTCAAGTGATTTCACGAAATGCTCTTAGAAACAAAATAGTTGCGGTTGTTCTCATCATTCATTTCATCGCTGTGCTGTCTTCAGAAATCATCACTAGTTATGTTTCAGGGACAGAATTTCTGCTTGTCATTTGTGCGTTGTATTATCTCATCGGTTGTCTGGGCATCGCATTGAGCTTGCTCTTTAGCGGAAGACGTGTTGTCAGACGAATCCGCGGGACCAGAGCGAATTTCGGCCGATTCAGCCAAACTAGCAAGAATTCTGGAGAGTCTTTTGCTTCACTGAAAGCGTCAAGAGACAAAACGGTTGCAGCGACATCGAAAGTGGTCAAAATTACAGCTTTGGCAGCTGTCTTCGGATTTTTATGCGCACTTTTCTACATCTATACATTGGTATGGATGATTCAAGCGAGTACTGGGGACACTTCATCGCCCGACCCGTGTACCTGGCTAATTGTGAACACATTCCTGCGTCTTTTTGAGTTGTTTTTGGCCGCTACAATGAGTTACGCTGTTGGATCAAGCTGTCATCGGAACAATATGCATGCAAAAATGAGTCTATCTCACTGTGAAGATGTTGCAACAACGCCGCAGTGATAAAAGTACATTTTATTCAAACATTATGATATAATCAATCCTCTGCTCAAAAAAGTCACATATATATGTAGTCAAGTTGTATATTTACCACGGATGAAAATGTATGCATGCGTTTTACAAAGCACTCATACTCTATATATTACTCATAATTATATGCAAATAATATTCGTTCATTATAAAAAAAGTTATGAACACTAACATCGCAATCACACTGATTGAGTGTAAAACATATAAATTCTTGCTTAATCAATGGAAAAAATCAAGTTAAAATATGCGAACTCTTATTCGAGTAGGAAGACCGCCACGGAAAGGTTATGAGATCTCCCACACAATGGGTTTGAACTTTGACTGTGCTAGTAAGCTTTTAGAATAAAGGGTATATACTACATTAACTGAGGTGTGATATTACCGTAATATAACTTGTGCATGTATAATTTTATATGCCTTAAAAAGTTTATAAGAATCAAACGAGAATGCAAACTTGCATACTTGTCAAAATATATTTGAGAACCGGTTGAAAAGTTTATCAAATTGTAACAGGGACAAGGAACTCTAAACGCTAAAAATTTACAAATTTAGCTTTCGGGCTACATACCGATGTTACTTACAAAATAAACTATATCGGCAAACTCGGGACATAAGCTAGCCTCGGAGTTTCCAGAATGTGCCTATACATATTAATAATTTTAAACACTATGTGCTTTATGATTTAAACAAACAGTATAATTTGAAGTGAACGAATATAGTGTAAGCAATAAAATAATAAGAAATGTATGCCTCTGAGAAAAAAATTGTAAAAAGTAGGCTTTGCCGGAGAAAATTTTGTTTCATCTCATCTTGAAATCAGTCTGCTGTAAAGCGCTGCTGTGAAAGAGGGTAGAAAGATTTGAAGGAAGCCATAGGAGATGTTGCGAGTGTTGAAAAAGCCGGTATTTTCTGCTGCGTTGAGATTACACAAACAAACTTTTATACGACAATGAGGCAATGCTTAGATTAAACAAATTTGTTTAATTTTCACGAGTATTATAAGATTTATAGAGTTAATGAACTTATTACTTATCGCGACAGCAGAAATATGGGATTTCTAGAAAATATTGCAAACGTCAGCTTATGGAATTTGCCGGACAATCATTTTGTTATCTCTTTGCCTGTTGAACTAAAGACGTGGGAAATAAATCTATCGTAAGTTCCTAAACTTTGATGCAAGTATATTTATATGAGGACATAATATTTTTTGATGGCACAGGCGTTTGAACACAAAAATATATCTATCTTCTGTAAAAAATCGCATAATAATAATGATAACATTTAAAAAAATCATCCATATAATTTATTATATTCGCGGCGTGATATTTCACTGCAAGAAATTAGTTCCAATGATTTATGATGTAGATAGCAGTATGGCATACGCCGAAGACAGATAACCGTAATCTCAAATTTTAATTTATTTTCTTATAATGAGAATGATGTCAAATGAAATTGAAATAATAGCAATATCCGCCTCATTATGTCGATCTGATCCACACGCGATTTTTTTCGCGAAATACGATACACGTTTTTTCTGAATTCTTGGACGTTGAGTACAGTAATAATTTTTTGTTGTTGCAATTCAAATTGAACAGGCAAAATATTTTTGCATTTCGTTGAGAATAATACATTTATTCAGTTAGTTAGATATATTATAACCTTTATTTAGAACGAGCAGCATGCATGTATTTTTGTTTTATTATGTAATATAAATGAATTTTTTTTAAAAGTTTTTTCCTGTCAGGGCGTACATACCCGCTTCCTGATTGGTAGATAAAACATGATGATCACACATGTGTTATTATCGCTTTTAATAACAATGGTGCATGGAATTGCCAATAAAACACTGCATTTAATTTAAAATAAATTTCAAATTTCAATCTTTTTACTGCTATACAAAGGCTTGTAAATAGCACTACGAAGCTTAGCTAGATAAATTATATCGTACGAAATTATTTTCAAATGCGCGGCAATAAATTACTGTCAGATTAGACCCAATTTACCTGTCCTCATGTAGAAATAAACATTTTGCCGCTTTGGAAACGGAAAGCAATATAGTGAGACTACAAATTACATAACCGAGCGCGGAGTCTTTACCCAGAAATATCGGACCTCGATAAACAAACCTCGCCCGAGCAACCGAGGTTAATAAAAAGTTTATTATATGGCATAAGGCTTGTATTTGCACTGGAAAGAAACAAACAAACAAGAAATGGATGAATTCGTATTAGTAGCCTGGTATGCATTTGATAAAACCCCCCCAAAATATTGAATTATTTAGTTTACCTTAACTGTCTTACTAATTTCAAAAGAGCGTCGTATTAATTTCGAAAGCAATTAAATTTTCTCTTGAGCATCAATTTGTACTTTTTTCATTCAGAACTTCCTGTCTGTCTCGTAATGGATCGCCGGTAACACCGATCCATTACGGGGAAGTGCCGATCCATTACGGGAAAGTATATAATGGCCGCTGAAAATTCTTCTCAGGTCTCAGCCAATCATTGAGCTCCATTTCACCGGAAGTGACGATTGCCATATAACAATATAGAGTAATATTCAAAGTTGTATCGACTTAACGCCCGTTTACATTTGCAATTTTTGCTGCGAATTTATGTGCGATTTTCTTCTTTTGATAGATGTGAACGAGTGAATTAGTTGCTGATGTTCTAATACGAGCTCTTATACACCAGAGCATTCGTATTACCGTTTTACAATCATTCTATCCATGCATGAATCAGCGTGGTGGGCATGCTCTCTTTATATTTGACGTGACCCATGAAGATACAGCAGAATATTTCACTGTAATTCGTTTGATTTCGTTTATTCAGTGAATATCTATGAGTGTTAATCCACCCCACGTGTTGTTTTTGTGTATTTTCCCGATTTTTTTAATCACAGTTTTCCATCTGATTGGAATATTCTTCTGTATGCCAACTTATTCACTGACTCATGATCACGGTATCTCTAAACTGCACATATGTACGTGATTTAAGGCTAATTTCCACTCCGGAAAACGAGCGGCGGATCGGATCGGAGCGAAAGATAATCCGCGCGTGCGCCGTCTGTTGAAATTTTTGGCTTATATTGATCCGAAAACGTCCGAGACCGGATAAAAAAAAGTTCAAATAATTTAAACTTTTTTTAATCCGATCCGAAATCACTTCATGGATCGGACCAGCTCGGAAAAAAATCCGATCCGATCCGCTGCTCGTTTTCCGGAGTGGAAATTAGCCTTAAAAAGACTAGGGTGGTAATGGAATTATAGGAATAAATTGACGTGAATAAAAATGAATTTGTAGTCTTTGTTTCCATTAACAGAAAATTGTGTAAAAATGCCCCGCCCCATATCATCGATGAAAGCGAAACTCCTGAGAGGCCTAGAACAAAATGTTTTATTTTGATTAAGGCTGAAAATTTTTTCCCCACTTTCTGTACTGAGATCAGTGGGTCGTTAGTTGCAAAATGGCGGAAATTCCAATGAATTATCTGTAGCGATGAGAGTATCAGTCTGAGTGGTGATAGTGTTTCAGGTATGTTGACATATGTATCAAATTGTATAACTTTTCTTTTGTAAAAGTTATCGCTGTAAATCCTTAAATATTGTGAGCTGCAAGTTTATGCAAAAACTTTTTGGTGAAATTCAATTAAGAACAACAAAGATGGAAAGCAAAAAAATCCCGTGAAGGTGGGAGTTTTTGAAATACAGTATATGCCTGTCAAAACTCTTTATCACACGTTTTAAATACTGACAAACACATCAATTATTGTTTTTTAATAGTTTCCAAACATTGCATTGAACTCACAGATTTTCACTCTCTTTAACTTAACGTTTTGAATTATTTTATATCAAGGGCGAAAAATTTTAATTTTCAGTTGGGAAAAAAGCTGGTTTCCCACAAACAATAATGGAATTACCTAAAGTTATCCAGTGCCGATGTCATATGAAATAAGGGAAAATGATAATTCATTTTGTCGAGGATCTGGTCTCTGATGATTGCTTGATTTTTATATTAAGATCAGGTAAATTAACTCGAAATATATTTACAGCGATATGTTTTTAATCCTAGTTCTAGATTTTAACCAAAGTTCTTTGAGGTGATAGCTAATTATAGTCTGTCGCCTCTTTGAGACTAGAACCTTCGTTGGTCTGGTGCTGTCTTCTTGGCTTCTAGTAGCCTAAAAACTGATCTTTCGTTCGTGAGGCTCCTTGCGGCTGCGGCTCTCAACATGAACGCTAAACGTACCTATTTTTACCATTGCGGAATTAGTTCCCTTGCTCGCCCTTTCGGCCCTTCGTGCCGACCGGAGATCAAGCATACCGCCCAGACTATGTTTCTGTTATGGTACTCTATATCACAGTGCCTATATGATATAACAGTATACCACCAACACATGTTGTTCTTCCAATTCTTTTTAAATGTTGAATAATTAAAACTGTTTTTATAATTATCGTCTCCGAAGTGTAACATTCAGGAATAAACAAAGGTATTACTTCAAGGTATTTATCTATCAGTGTAATTAGAAGGATCATAAACCGCAATGGTCATTTCTACTCATTTGATATACGACTCCCCTAAAAATATTGATTTTATTCAGTAGAGATTTGTTATATAAGCTTCCAATATCGAGGACGAGAAGCAAAATTACTGTTGGCCTTTGTACAGTGCTGTTTATTATAATATTTCAGCTTTAGGCTGTTTCATCTTGGGAATAAATATTAAAGACATCTTTCATATTATAGAATTGTCTATATTTTCGAGAATAATTTATCATTTACGTAATCCGTACTGAAAAGTTTGTTTATCATCCGCCCAATGTTACACCAAATGTTACACCAACATTTTTTGTTAACTTAAGTTTATGCATTAAGGATAATTCTCACACGGATTATAAATAGAAAGAGGGTTAATTTACAAATCTATTTCTCGGTTTTTTTCCATCTTAGTTGACTGGAAGCTATGTAAATAGCATAAATTTACCTACAGGTATTAACATTGTAGTGCTTATACCAGCCTAGGGTGCATTCCATGCAATTGCCATGCTGAAGTGAAGGCTTAGAAATGTATTGTTTTTAATTAAGATCAATAAGAGTGTTGTATGTATTTACCTAGATTGCTGGTAGTTGACCATCTGAACCATTGACAATCGAAAGGCATTTAGGTTTCATGATTTATTGTTTTACTGCACACCAATATCTTACCACATCAATATCAACATATGCATACTAGCTGTCTCCACACTGGAGATATATATGGTTGGATGGGATGCATCTTGTAGCTAGTGCATGAGGCCAAAAATTTCACTGCAAAATTTCATATTTATATTACATATTATGAAATATTTAGTTACCATATCAAATATGTTTTCAAGCTAGCATAATCTATTCAGACAAAATTAAGTGGTTATGGGAGAAATAAAATGCATATGTATCCATAATAAAGGTTGAGTAAAATATTTTCTCATGCAGGCCAAGTCTGATAAATTATAAGACAATAATTATCTTGATATTGCAGAAGCTACTTTTAAGATTTCCATCATCACCAGGGTCACCAAAGTGGTGCAGGTTAACAGCTCTGGGGCACCTGCAATCATAGATTATAGTTATAGAAATTTGAAAGTTATAGGTATATATTGCCTATACCTTTGTTCATCATACAGCATTGGCTTAAACTAAACTCTATTCACAGATGTATCTCATATATATCAAACATGGCTCCCAAGCATGCACTAGCTGAACATTCTGCCCCCAAGCAGAAATTCAAAATGACATTTTACATAACTTCAATGAAAATGATGTGATTTTTTCATAGTACTTTGTGGTAAAAATGTCAAACTGTTCATATCTTAAACTTAACAGTTTTTCGTACCTTTTTCCTTAAGAATCTGGATTCATTTTCACTGTGTGTGTTAACTATGTTGCAAATTAAATGATGTTTTTGCTCTGCTATTGAATGGGAAGGTAAGGAATTGTGGTTTATTTCACATTTTGTATCTCCAGTTTCTGTTCATTCATTTAATGACTATATCAGCAGATGTGCATTTATAAATATCTTTATTATATTAATATTCTCATTTTATGAAGTGGGAAAGTGAACACTAGTGTAAAATCCCCAAAATTGAAGATCACTAAGCAGTAAGGGCTGAAAATTTGTATTGGGGATTTGCTGAGATTTCGAGGAAGTTTTAAAAAATGTTGATGACCAAAATAAAATTTTGAAGTTTTGTAACATGTAAAGTTGACTGACAGGAATTATTTTCATGTGGATACGTACCACTGCATCATCAAGATAAAGAAATGTTTCTGGTTAAACTAAATGACAATATCTTGCTAATTACATAATTCACATACTGTTGCTCTGTAAATATATTGGTTTCAGTCCAGCTCTTGAAAACGTCAACAACCTTGACTGTCTGTAGCTTGGCTTATGTATGTAGCAACATCATAAGTGTTCGTAATATGTCGGTTCTTATGGCATGTTTCCAAAATCTAAATATACTCAGACTATAGATAAGACAATCAATGTCAGCTGTCTTGTGAAATTACTCCCTGTGATAATCTTTTAAGGAATACATCATTATAATATAGCAAAATTAGGCAGTGTTTGGCCTAAAGGAGTGTGGGGAGTGGTGAGGGGCAATATTTGAAGTTGATCAAAGTGCTTTAATTGTTTTTCATCAGAAAAGCAGAGATGAAAACTTGAGTAAAAAAGCCAAATAGTCAAAACATAGTGGATAATCTTTGAATAAATCTATAATATTGGATATTTTTATTATTTTTAAAAGTTATGGTGAATATCACATGACATCCCTTAATTCGCTTGCCACGCCCTGGTTTTCAGGAACCCACAAAGGTACAACATGATAAACAAACACCGCAGAAATTGGTGTTTATGAAGTTTTAACACGAAAATCGAATCACTGGGTCAGAATTGTGCATTTTTGTATCACTATTTAAATTTCGATAATTATATAAACAAATTTATGTGTATACTATAAAATATATCATCAGGATCGGTTTACCTTTTATGCATCTTTTGGTTGTAAATTCGGACTATATACCAATTCATGCATGCGTGTGTCACAGTGCCGGAATAATAATCTTTTGCGTTGACGTTGGTTTACAGTGTTTACTGCAAACTGTTTTAATGTCTTGTGCTGTTGAAATTCGGTTTTTCGTAGGGTTTCACATATCCACCCCCATTTTCTCTCCTTGATGCCAATGTCAATGGGGCTTTGTTCCGTTCTCTCCATAATTCTCTGTTGGAGATGACATCTGGCCAGCAAACATTGAGAATGGTTCAGAGCATCTGTTAATGCAAGTTTGCAAATGTAGTTTGTGGGTGCTGATCTTTGCTGTCTTCCATGTTTCTGAACCATACAGCAGCACTGACTTCACATTTGTGTTGAAGATTCTGAGTTTGTTGCGGGGTGAAAGGGCTGAGGAGCTTCAGATGAAGCGTAGAGAGTTGTTTAGCAACATAAGCACTGTTTAATGCCATTATAATAGAAAAAAAGTCTTTCTGCCAGTATTTAGCCATAAAAACCAGTCGCGCAACTTGAAACGATAATTGCATTGGGGAAGTAGATCCGTCACTGAAATTGGGAGAGTATATTCATATGTTTATATCCACTTTCCCTAAGAACAAGAGCCTCGAAATGGAACCAGTGCAGCATAAGACGATCATATATAAGAATATACACTTCGAATTAAAAACTTCTACCAACGCGCGTCTCATCTTTAAAGATGACGTTACAAACTGTACTAATTACACGTATTCGGAGCCACCTTATTAAGGATGCCACCTTACCACCTTTTCATTCGAATATATGACCGCATGTTTATATATATATATATATATATATATATATATATATATATATATATATATATATATATATATATGTAAGGTGTATATTTGTTCTTCTACACAAGTATGACCAACCGGGCAAGCAGAAAATTCTACTTGACCGCGGTGGGAATCGAACCCGCGACCTTCGCATTTCTAGAACGATGCTCTACCGTCTGAGCTACAAGGCCAAGTTGGGAACGACTGTGATTTTACTTAAGTTGTTATTGACAATGCGGAGTTTCGTCCTTTAACATGTCGTTATGCAGTAGAATTTTCTGCTTGCCCGGTTGGTCATACTTGTGCAGAAGAACAAATATACACCTTACATAAATATCCACAAGTGAACACATGGCTCAATTGAGAGCAAAAACGTACAAATATATCAACATTTGCAGATGTAACTGCATAACGACATGTAAAAGGACGAAACTCCGCATTGTCAATAACAACTTAAGCAAAATCACAGTCGTTCCCAACTTGGCCTTGTAGCTCAGACGGTAGAGCATCGTTCTAGAAATGCGAAGGTCGCGGGTTCGATTCCCACCGCGGTCAAGTAGAATTTTCTGCTTGCCCGGTTGGTCATACTTGTGTAGAAGAACAAATATACACCTTACATAAGTATCCACAAGTGAACACATGGCTCAATTGAGAGCAAAAACGTACAAATATATATATATATATATATATATATATATATTATATATATATATATATATATATATATATATATAATATATATATATATATATATATATATATATATATATACTCACAACTATTGTTTTTCGTTTTCTCCTTCTTTTCAGTCATAGTCCACAAGGTACGCTGGTTTTCGTCTTTCCCTTTGTGGTCTGGCGAATGTTGGATTATCAACCTCAACTCTCCTCGCTTCCAAGGTTTGGTTCTTTGGTCTCTCTGCGGGCCCCTTGTCTTTCTTGGTCTCTTCAGATTCTATTCCAAACTCGACCTCCTCTGCCTCGTTTGGTTCCTGCGTCTTTCTGAGATGGTAACGGTTACGGCGATATTTCGTTCCTTCCGTGGTCTCGACGACGTATGATCTACTATCTTTTTCTACTACAACTTCTTTCTTCCAAACTCGTGGGCGGCTTCGACGGCTTAATGCGTACTACGTCCCCTTTTTTCAGCTCTTTCAGATCTCTGGCATTTCGATTCTAATAGTGTGCTTGAGTCCTCCGCTTCACTTTGATCTTTTGCTGTTGTTCTTCTGGGTTTGGCACCCTTGGGCGGAGAAGTGTTTCTTTAGTTGGGAGCAACGTTTTCGTTCTTCTATTTCAAGAACCTTTGCACCGGACTTGTGTTCATCCCTTGTGTCGGTGAACAGATCTGTCTTGCTGTCTTGTGCCTTCCGTAGTAGTTGTTTTGCCACTTTGACGGCTGCATCGGCTTTTCCATTCGCTTTACTATTCTAAGGTACGGTGTTCGAACTCCCAAACTTTAGCGAACGTAGCGAACATTTTACTTGGACACGTCTGAACACCCATATCTGGCGAAGTGGCATTTCAGCTTAGAGATTACTGCAGGAGTGGTCGAGGTCGTCGATTTCCCAAAAGTTGCTATAATCGTCCACTGTTGTCAGAAACTCCTTGTTCTGGAATGTGAACAGATCCGTTGCTATCTTCTCCCACGGGCGACTTGGAACGTCGTGATGTTCCAGCGTTTCCTTTGGCTTCAGACAAGTCGCACATGCCTCCACAAGCTGACGAATTTCGGCCGACATACCCGGCCAAAAAACACAGACTCGTGCTCGACGTAAACATGACTCCGTCCCCAAATGTGATGTGTAACCTTCTGCTTTACACTCTGCCGCAGCGCAATTGGGATGACTACCCGTTCCCCTCTAAACTCGTTATCGACCGTGAGTTCATCCCTGATGTCAAAATACGCTCGAACCTGCCCTGGGATGTCCCTTCTCTCGTCGGGCCGCCTTTAAAATTTGTTGGGTTTCATTACGTCGGGTTTCTACTCTGATTTGGTCTAACTGCGGCTTTGATAAGGGTAGCAGATTCGCTGAGTTAACCTGTTCGAACTCCTTGTGGTCGTGATCCTGGGAGCATGGTAGATGCGCCCTTGACAAGAGATCTGCTATCAGCATATTCTTTCCTCGCTCATAGTTTACTTCGACGTTATATTTCTGCAATCGCATCATCATGCCTTGTAGCTTTCTTGGTACTTGCTACAGCGATTTCTTCAGAATTAAAGACATTTAGTTTCACGTTTTCATAGCTTTCCCGCAAACCGCAAACCGCAAAATTACCACGTGACGTTTTCCCGCGGTCAGGCTTGCAGTATTTTGTTGACGTTTTTACGGCAAGAGGACGTTCTAGCGGTAAGTGAATTACCTCAGAGTTTTTAGCGTAGTAATAGTACATGAAACCAAGTTTAAGAGTAAAAATTTTATTTTCTCATATAAATAGATTTTAAATAATGGGAAATTGACCTTTCAAGGCTTCGTCGTTTCGTATTTCATACGTTTAAACACGGCATGCCAACCAAGACAGAATCCAGCATGGCTGCCAATTTAATAGTTATCGCAGCTTCGGGCAATAATGGTCAAATTATCAACTTCAGTAGTGCTATTAAAGTGTCCATAGTGAACTATAGTGATAATGTCCCGTTTTCATTTTTTGTAGAACAATGTCACCATTTAGATGGCCGAAAATTGAACATGATTTGATGCTAGCTACAGAAGTTGCAGCAAGAAGCCCAAAGTCTGGCACAGATTGGGAGACTATTGCCTCCATACTCAGCAAAGCATTTAGTACAGATGGTAATAGGATTGAATTAACTGGACGATCATGTAGAGAGCGAATGGACCGTCTATTAGCTAAGCACAAAGAGGATGATAAGAAATCGCTAAAAAAGTAAGAACAGGTTGTCATTACTGTCATAGATATAAACACAGCCCCCATCTTTCAAATGAATGTTGTGATTTTATGTTGTGATTTTCATATTAACTTATTAAGTGGCAATGCACCAAAGTGCATACAGATGTTTTAGTCTGTCTAAAGGCAGATGATTTTACTTAGCTTATCCAAGAGCTGTGCTTAAGGAGAGACCTTTGTTTTGGTTCATTTATACTCTGGTGATATTTGTTAAGATCTGGCACTGAAGAAGAATATACGGAGCTAACCCAACTATTAGAAGATATCATGACTTGTCGAAGGGATATGGAAGATCTGAAAAGGAAAGAAAAGGAAGAAAAAAATAGAAAAGAAGAGTTAAAAAACAAGAAAGGACAGGAGATGCGTGCTGCTGCAGTCAGTAAAATGTGTAGTAAGTGCACAGAGGAATTTTCATATTTTTGTCTGGGGGTGGACAGATTTCTGGGAGGGGTGCCACTGCTTGGTTTTTGGCTGCAGCCTGGTGGCAAAGTCAAGAAAGTAAAGGAAAATTGGTAAAATACATAATTTGTACAGGAATGGTGGGCAAAATCTTTGGGGGGCAATATCTCAATAATCTATTTGATAAATAGTATGAAGTAATAGTTGCATGTAGCACTTATTATACTTTTTGTAATTCAGAGCGGAAACACAGCAATAAGCTTGAAAGTAGCGAATCTTCTAGTGAAAATGATGAGAATGACGAAAATGAAGATGCTGGAAAAAATAAACAACGTAAGGAAGCTTTACATATTTCTTATTCCGGCTGTATAATTTTAAAAAATCCTCCACAAAATTGCATCCAACCCTTATTCCCTGTATCAGCATTAATAGTCAGTATTGTGCAGTTCATTATTTACCTCACAAATGGTTTTTCAGGTAAACCAGTACGCCAAAGAGCAAGCAAGCTCACTGCATTAGAAATGCTCACCGACAAATATAAACAAAAGACAGAGTTAAAACAGAAGGAACTCGAGTTAAGAAGAATGGAACTTGACTTTGAGAAAGAAAAGTATAATGCAGAGGCTGAGGAGAGAAAAGCAAAGTTTCAACTAGAAATGGAAGAAAGAAAGGCATACATAGCCCTTCTACAGACAAAATCATAGTTTCTATTTTTGACAGTACTAAATGTGTTTATAAAATTTTGTATATTATTGTTACATATTATTTGAACCATATGTTAAATAGTTATACTTGAATGTTCCAGATGACGTGTTACTATACTGTGTATAAAACTATTCTGATGTTGAAGATAAATTAAATTGTTTATACTTTACATATCATTGATTTGATAAATATGTTTCCAAAGATGGGGGTTGAACACCAAAGTAGGAACTAGTTAGTGATCCATATAAACAGGTGTGGCAGTTTGTCAAAAGAGTTCCAACCAGATAGTATTTGCCAATTGGCTGAAGTAAGATCTTTTGATTTTTTTTGAAATCTAAAAATGCAAAATACTGAGCAATTTTTCCAAACCCCCATTCCACACTAACACGTAGTTTACTCATTCGCTTATTAAACTCTTGCTCATCTGCAGTTAGGAAAACACCCCGGAATGGAGCCAGTATGTTATCAGTGACACCATATGCTGGGTCGCCATAAATAATATAAGGTTCTCCATTGGGCTGGCGAATCCTGCACAACTTGTCAGCCAAGTTGCTAACACCAAGAATAAATGCATCGTGTCTTCGTCCTTCCACAGGACCGAACATGTTTGCAATAAGGCCATTTGGTGCATGGACTGACTAAAATGTATAAGTTTTTGTTTAATTTGAGAAATATTAACCAATTACTTGTCCAATGAACCAATCTCACCTTGATGCAATAAAAATTTGTACTTTATGTAGGTCAACAGTGATTTTTTTATTTCTAATGCAAACAACATTAAATGAATAAATAGAAAATCACATACCTGAAATTTGATGCAGTGAGTTCTTTTATGCCCACTAAACATTATTTGCTGATTTCTAATAGGACGTGGAATTGGCCGAACGGTGCCATCAATAAACCCCAAGCATTGCGTAAGAGGTGCTCCTTTATTGTGAATTGCATTGGAAAACAGCTCGGGATCAAACCAAACTAAGTCCAGAGAGTCCAAAAGGTAGCTGAAACGGTCACAAATATCATCCAAAATCTAGAAGAATAATTTATTTTGCTTCCTTGGAATGTAAATGCATCTTACAGTATAGCTAGCAGCCATAGTAAGAAAATACTAGCAAACATTCATCTCCAATATATAGTTTCAGTGTTGATAAATATCTGATGAAATGTTACCTTGTTAAAAATTAAACTCAACTCAGATTCACTTCTTCCAAAAATAGATACCAAATCGCACCATCTGTTTGGATAAACTAGTCTTCTTAATAAAATCATGAGTGCTTCCATTCCAGATGCTTTTGTCTTTTGAGAGCAAATATAATACGATGGAAGATTCAATGCACAATGAAGCTGATGCATATGATCCTTATGAAACCTATATTTTATAAGGTGACAAAAAAAAGCAATACTATTCACTCTACAATTCACTAATGACTAGTGAGTCGAAACCGATAGTATTGAAATTTGAATATTGGATTATTGCTTAATAGTTTTCGTAAGACATTGTAGTAAATATCTTAAATACTCGCCTAAACATTTTTTCACACTGCCAGTCACTAAGCTCGTCGATGTTTAGCAAAGGGCCAACTTGGTTTGGTGATGGAAACAAGCAATCCAGCAGTATCAAATCAAGATCATCCTCGTCACTGCTACTACAATCTGACTCACTGCTATCGTTAAACATTAGGGCTGTAATAATGTCATTGTATTGTTCCCTGATAAAAAAAGAAACAGTAACAGTCTACGTAAAGATTTTTTTTTTCTAAATTTAGCTGGAATTAATTCAAATTTTGAAAAACTGTAGCTAAACTTTCACTAACCTTGCAACTGCCGCCATGTTGAAAACACAGAAAAATTTAACGCGAAACTAAATCGCCCAAAAAATTTTCCTTCTAACTGCAAACTGCTGACCTCAAACTGCGGTTTGTCGTTCGCGGTAAAATGAAAAATACTTCAAACTAAATGTCCCTATTGACTCAGGATTGGCGCAAATACTATGGTCAACATCTCTTTCTCCATTTGCACGTACCGCTGCTCTGTCGGTGTTAGGGCACGGCTAGTGAAAGCTATTGGCTTTCCTTGTTGCATTAAGACTGCACCAACTGCCTTTTGACTGGCGTCTCACTGGATCTCGAGCGGCCAAGCTGGATTAAAATAGCTGAGGACTGGTGACTTCACAACCATCTCTGCAAGAAGCTCGTTCTTGTTCTTCGGTCCATATCCACACGGCATCTTTCCGTGTAAGACGACGAATCGGTTCCATAGTATCTCCCAGGTGCGGTAGAAATTTGACGAGATCTGGGCATCTTCCTCATTTTATGGCCTGGGCATCTCTTCCATGGCCTTTATTTTGTCTGGGTCTGGTTCTAATCCTCTGTCCGTAAGTACATGACCCATGAATTTAACTCGTTTGAGACGTAACTTCAGTTTCTCCGAGTTCAATACCACACCCCGATCTCTACATCGCTCCAAAAGTTCTAGCAGTTTTCTGTCATGATCCGCCTGCGCAATTTTCTCAGTTTCACCAATGCCATAAATTAGGATATCGTCCGCTATATTAAGAAGTCCGTCTAAACCTTCGATTGCTTAAATGAGACGATTCTGGAAAATCTCGGGCGACACGGATAATCCAAAGGTAAACGAAGCCAACGGTATCTGCCATAGGGTGTTGAGAATGTAGTTAAAAGGCTAGATTGATCATCTAACACACAATGCCAGAATCCCGAGCGAAGATCTGCTGTCGAGAAAACTTTCGCTTGTGCACATTCAGGCAAAAGTTCATCCAGGACTGGTATTTGATAGGTTCTCTCTTGAGGACTTTGTTAAGTGGCCTGGGATCTATACAAATTCTGAGCGCTCCTGACTTTTTAGTGGTCACCACAACACTGCTCATCCAGGGCGTAGGTTGTTCAACCGGAGCTATGATCATGTCCCTTACTAATTTGTCCAACTCTTTCTTAAACGGATCCTTTAGGACTGTTGGTATACGACGTGATGGTGTTATTGCTGGCCTTGCTTCGGGCGAGACCTCCAAATGTACCATCCCCGGAAGTGTGCCAACCGGTTGTTTGAATACCTCCGGGTATTTCTGAACTAAGTACTCTCTAGTTGTGACCTGGGTTACAGTTGACTAAATGACAGGTGGGGATGCCGGAACAAAATTTTGCTGGTGCACCGTTAAGAACTTCATCTGCTGTGCAGCTTTCGCACCAATTAACGGTTGAAGACCTGTATTTACCACAATGAATTTCACTGAATATTTTTTCTTGTTTCAGGGATTTTGGATAATTAATCTCGCTGTCCCCAAGGCGTTTATACACCCGTTGATTGATGCGGCACTGTCAATTTGTAAACGAATGGTCTTTTTTTTCATCTTTTGGGCTTTTGAATTCCCATCATAGCATATATTTCTTTGAAGTATCCTGAATTGCGGACCTCAACGGCATTAACATTGGTTGTGATACCCGCAACGAATTCGACATCGATCACTCGTGTCTGATTCTTCAGATGCCTCGCCTAACTGCTTTACGGATCCTCCTTGCTGTTGTTCTTGTCCTCGCGCTTGGTTAGGACACTTCCTAGCAAAATGGTTTTTACCGCCGCATTTTCGACATCGCTGTCCCCACGCCAGACACATCTCCTTCTGGAACGCGTGTTCACCTCCGCAGAACTTACAGGATCGTGATCCTGATCCGGGGCTGTGTTGTATATACCCCGACCTTTCTTCGATCGATCTGACTTCTGCTGATTTCACGCGCTTACTTTGTTTACTTCCTCAATTGTCATGTCTGACACCGCTTAGTTGATTAGATGCCGCTACGATGCTGCGACAAATATGGATGCACTTCTTAAGCGTTAGTATCCGTTCTTGCAAACGTCGTTTTCTGAAATTCTTGTTAGTTATCCCTAGTACGATTCTATCTCTCAAAAGAGATTCTTTGAGACAGTCATAGAAGTTACATGACTTCCCTAATTTGCGTAGCTCTGTAATGTACGCTTGAATAGACTCAGACGGATCCTGATTTCTGCTATTAAACACATGCCTCGCGTATGTCTCATTTACCTTACCAATCGCGTGCTCTTCTAATTTCTCTATGATCCTAGCTAGATTCTGCTTATCTTCCTCCGACTTAAACGACAATCCATTGTATACCTTTAGAGCGTCCTCGCCCAGACAATGTAAAAACAATGCTACTTTGAATGTCTCCGGTTGACTCGCCAAATTAGCTACAATGGCATAATTTTCCCATCTTTGTTTACAACTCTTCCAGTTTTCGATTACATTGTCCTTTATATTCAGATTACTCGGTGGTTTTATGCCAGCTAGTGTGATAGGGGCTACAGATGGCGTATTTTGTTGACTGGTTTGCAGCTCTGCCGCCTGCATATTTCGCGTAGCTTCACTTGTACCAAATTCCTCGTTCGACATAACAAAAGTTGTTTCTCACTACTAAAAACTGGTCACCGCCGCCAACATCTTTCACGTTTTTCTTTTTGTAACGTATACGCATATTTATATATATTTATTCCATAAACTCAGTCCAACAAATTACAGTCTTTTTCACTTCGAGTCTCTGTCTTTACGCCCACTTATCAATCACAGTTGAAAATTCGCCCCGGTTTTGTTTTGTTTTTGTTTTTTTAATTTTTTTTTAATATTTTTCGTCGTCGCAAGTGTGTAATGGCGCGAAATATACTGGTATTTGAAATGTGTATGTGATCGTATATATCTACGCCCCAGTCTTGTCTCCCAAGAGTTGTGGTGCACAGCTTTGGCTAATTTTCCGATGCGCGATTCGATTTCGCTCGCATGATACGGCAATTCCTCCAAGAGGAACAAGTAAACCGTTCTTTTGATGCTGTTCGATTAAGTTTAGATTGAATTGGGGTATTAATATATTTAATACATGTATATTCTAGTCCTATTTTAATAATATCGCTGCTATTTCGCCGTTTACAAGACCGTGTGGTCGTGTATGGGCGCGTTGACACGTCGCAGTTTGCACAG